ATAACAAAGTGATAGCGCGGTGTACTATGTAAAAGAAAAAAAATGGGGTATTCGCAGTATCTGATCCTATACGAAGTACTAACAATAAAACTGTGATACAGTTCCTTCTTATTGAATGATGAAAAATATATTATCATAATAGGTATTTATGATTATTGAATTTTAATGAAAAACTCAGAATTTTACTGTTTTTCATTTTTTTTAACGATATTACTTAATGTTACAAAAAAGGTTTACTTAATATAATGACAAATAACCCATTTTTCGCTAGTAAGTACATACTTATTGGAATCCCTGTATTTATTAATCAGCTCGCGATAATATTGGTTTTGTAATTATTCTGCAAAATTCAAAGTAAATAATGTAGATTTTTATAGGTAAATCACCCCTTTCATCACCCTACGCCTATAAGTATTGCAATGTTGTAGCTAAGAACCAAGTTCCCATCTACTTCTATATGGGAATTCATTATATTCGATTTAGCTATTAGGGCACGGAAGCGCAACAAACTCACTTTCGCATCTATAATATTATATTTACTTACTAGTGATCCACCCGGGCATTGTACGGGCGAAATTTATTTATCGGGATAAAATATAGCCTATGTCACTCGGACAAAATGTATTTAAATAAAGAAAAATGTTATAATAAATAATGTAGCTACCTTATGATGAATTAATATTTGAAACCGGTTCAGTAGTTTGACAGATTATTTGTTACAAACATACAAATCTTGCCTCTTTTTAATATTAGTATAGATAGTTAGGATAAGATAAGTATTTAATTGATGAAAAAGATTAAAAAAAAAAGTAAGTAATAGGTTTATTTGATTATATTTGTAAAAGTTACTTAACATTTGTGCTTAACAGTGATACGTTATTCGGTATTTTTATAACAAAAAAAAATTGGAAAATAATTGCCATGATTGCACTACTGGGAGAGTACTCTTCATTCGAGCTTTACACTACCAATAAAAAAGGGTCGAACACAAAGTCTTTGACCTGTTAAATGTGAACGCTTTAAAAGAAAACTACAAAGACTATAAATAAAGACAACTATAAATTGATAATAAATGAGATTGCTATGGTGCTCTACCTAACGTTATGAAAATTTTATTATGCGCCTTTAGTTTATTCAAATATTATAAACTTTGCTTTGGTGATTGCATAATAATTATTTAATTAAGTGATCTAAGGCAGTTGCCACCATTGTCCAAAACAACAGACGTGAGTTACTGCTTTCTTCAACCTGTGACATAAACGTCATTGATTGGTATTGTATATAGGGTGATTAAAAACATTTGAAGTTACTTCTGGCATCTACATATTGGCTTTCTGTGAATTATGTAGGTATATCAAATTATGAGACTAGGGACTGACACTGAATTTGTGTATATCACAATCTTAGACGTCCGGCATTGACATGACAATGCAGCCACTGCCAATTTTAAATAGTTGACGAATAAAAGTAAATGAATTTTATATTTACTGCTAAACTATTAAAAAAAAAACATAAACAAAAGATGACTTTTTGAGTAAGTGCTAGTTTACTATAAAATTAACGTACATTAGAGATATTTATGTAACGACTTGATTTAACTTCACACATTTTTGCGAAAATTGAGGCCCATCTGTAGCCTTGACCCCGCGGGTAAAGTCTTTATATGTCTTAATAAATCAATCTTTTAGACCGACGCAAGGTACTTAATAATTCCCGCGATATTAATTCCCTTATTGAAGTAACAAGACTACGGTATATACCATCTTAAAATACTAACTAACTAAAAAGTGTGAAATAAAAAAGGTAAATTTAAAAATCAAAAAACCCGACTGCTTAATTATACTTCAAATAAAAACTGAAAAGAAAAAAACAAGTCCAGTAGTCTATAATTCTGTTAATAAGGAACAAAGCTACTTTAACAGTCGGGACCCATTGTTGAAAAATATTATGTATTCTTGAATATCTAATGGGTCCCGACTGTTAAAGTAGCTTTGTTCCTTATTAACAGAATTATAGACTACTGGACTTGTTTTTTTCTTTTCAGTTTTTATTTGAAGTATAATTAAGCAGTCGGGTTTTTTGATTTTTAAATTTACCTTTTTTTTGTTGCAGTGTTTACAAATAATATTTGAGCGGCGACTCCGCTTTAATGTCCTATTGGAGGTGGATGCATCAGTATCCATTCCAGATTCCGACTGCACAGTGACAAAATTACCTGCCGGGGGAACGAATCCCCCCGGGTCATCGGGGGGATCGTTCATGACGGTAAAAAATTAGTAAGAGGACTTACCAATGATCCAAATATGTACACAATATATTAAATAATAATTAATATTTACAAAAATATACAAAATGTACCCTTCTGATCGAAAAACTAATATATAAAGTTTTCACCATAAAACGCGTCTACCAAGTTAAACGTTTCCCGCGCTTCCCCATTCATTAGTTAATTGTAGTACATTAACAGTCTAATAGGGATGTCCGATCATATTAACTGATTAATTGGATCGTTTTGGAACTTTAACCTTGTAAGTACTAAGGACTTTAGAATAATGAATTTGAAAAGATTGATGATTATTACTCAATGTATATACTGCCTTAGGGTTCCATTTAAAAACTTTTTAGTTCCACGATAACGTAACCAAAGCATTTGTTTTGGGATAAAAGTAACGGAAATCTGCATTTTTTAAAAATAATTTAATATTATTTTACTGACTGAACTTAGCAACAACCATATTAACGAATTGTACTAACTAAAAATCAAAAAACTATCAATGAATTGCAAGAAATAAATATAAATGTTTGCCAATTGTGGAAGCTCTAAATTTGACCTTTATCAACGAACTTTTAATATGCAGTTTTTTTCAATATCAACACTATATTTAAAATTTAATTTGAGATAAGTAAGAGAGACATGTGGTTAAAGCGCTGGTATATACAATACTATTGGCACTAATAAAAACGGTACACATTATTTTTACTCACTTACAATAGTAGAATACAATCTATTCCATCTAATTCAGTCATTCTATGCTTTTTATCAATTTGGTTTTAAATATCTAGGCTTTATTAAATTTCAAATATTAATGTATCCACTCAGATCACAGATCCATCCTTAGGGTACGGCCAGAGTGCACTCAGATTCAGATTCAGACTCAGAAAACAAGCGCGAGAAATATACAGTGTAGTTTAAGCAGGTTGCCTGCGGCCACTATGGCCACCCTGCTTTAATTACACTGTTTATTTCTCGCGCTTGTTTTCGGAATCTGAATCTGAATCTGAATCTGAGTGCACTCTGGCCGTACCCTACAATATTAAAAACCTGCGCGGAACTGCGGAGCTTAGTCTGTTATACTTATACCCTGCGGAACGCCCCGCGCCTCCGCAGTGGTTGGCGGAATCTGCGCTTTAGATGCTTCACTATGCGTCGATGCTTGGTCAGTGTATTATAGATAGCGGGATTTCTATACAAAGTAAGATAGTTGCATACGACGTAAAAGTCTGTGCTACCGCGCTACGTGACGGAGCGCGGTAGCTGAACCGCCTAAGGGTACGGCCAGAGTGCACTCAGATTCAGATTCAGATTCCGAAAACAAACGCGAGAAATAAACAGTGTAGTTAAAGCAGGGTGGCCATAGTGGCCGCAGGCAACCTGCTTAAACTACACTGTATATTTCTCGCGCTTGTTTTCTGAGTCTGAATCTGAATCTGAATCTGAGTGCACTCTGGCCGTACCCTAAGGGCATAGCGGCAGCTGTCAGCGTCAGTTACCAAAGATAATAATAAATTAACAAGCAAAAGTTAAATACTTCTAAGCCAAAAGACGATTCAGATTGAGAACTTTCTGCGATATGATGGTTCTGCTTTTTAATTATTAGGGATGATACATTTATACCTATAGATGATTCTGGCTTTCAAAATAATTCACTTAATTGTTACTAAATGAGTGTTCCCTAACAGACAGAGAGTTGTCAATAACCAAACCAATTTACTTCAAGTGCAAGTTGAAGTATGAGGACTATCACAGTTAAGTGCCCTGCCTAATTTTGACTCATTAGAAGGAAGCTTATACTGGACTCAAATATTGCGTTTGTCCAAATCAATCACAAACATTATCAAATCTATGTGTAGCTACGTCAAACACTTTAGGTGTTAAGTGGTGTCGATTCTAGCATGATTCTCTAAACCTAAACCTTAATTTGACAGCAGTATATCCTTGTCATTTTCTATACAGCATGAAAAGGAGAGACTGATGTTAAATTTAGTTTTAAGTTTAGAGAATTACGACAGAATTGGCACCAGTATACTGAATAAAAATCATAAAAAAGTACCTAACAAATTAATCCGTTATATGATTGTTCTTTTTCAGAAAGAAAGCAAGTAACAGTATAAGTCGGCAAAAATATTGAGCCCGATTAAATTGCTCATACGATCTTCTGATTATAGTTGAATCTGAGAAAATTCACTTTTATGGTTTCTATTCCATAATCCTAAACAAAATCGGTAACGCTGTTTCCTGAATCGATTTTTCAGATGATTGATTCAGATCTGAGAGGCTTCCCTACTGTCAAGTTGACAATTTCCCCGTAAAACCTGAATTTAAAAAGGTTTTTTGGCGGGATTTCATCGAGTGCGGTTGGCGTCTTATTTTAATTATTCTTAAATTCGTTCATAGTGGATATTGTGAAATAAAATTGGTGTGGTTTTATGTAACAACCGTCTGCGTAACTGAAGAATTAGTGGAATCGTTAAAATATACGCTATTCCGGTCAAGTGGACGTGAGAATTTTATTGTAGTGTTGACTACCTCACAGAAGCTTATCGAAAAAGCCTACTCGATACATTTCGTGCCAAACACTCCAAGAAACATTAGAATGCGTCACACCGACATTCTAATGTAAAAACAAAAAGAAGATTAACTTAATTAAAGACTAGGCTGTATGGGCATTGTTTCCTTTGCCTTCCCTAAAACGGGAGAACTTCAACAAAAAAAAAAAAATGAATTTAAAAAAAAATTGACACTTTCGTTTTTGAAAAATATAAAATCAAAATATCGGGCATTGCATTGGTTTTTTGGACGTCCAGTGAATTAGTGAAAATTAAATAACATTAAGTGAAACTAAAAAGTGCGTTTGGCACTATGACACACATCATGGATATAAATGAAGGTAATTTTACTAACAATGTAACCGTTGCTAAGGCGGCAAGCGGCAAGCGGCAACCGGAATTTTGATGTAATTTGCAGTATTATTTAATATTTCCTGATTTTTAAATAATTTCATGGCCCCTTACTTTGGTAGTGACAGACCAAAGGGCATTTTTTAAGTAATATTTTATCGGTAACTTGTTGTAAAGGTTATATTTGTTGTGCTCGGCTTAAAATGTCATAACCAAACTTTGTTGGAAATTTTATATTATTTAACGTATCCTTTTCATTTATTTTTTTTTGTATAAAAAGGCTTAAAGCTAACCATAAAAGCTGTGCACAGCTTAAAGGACGGACAAAGTCAGAAGACAAGCAGTTTTCTGCTGTTGCTAGTGTTCTGCTGTAAACTATTTAGTTATTTTAATCGTTGCTGGTTGATATGTATGATATATTATTATTATAATATGGTTCTGTAATTTGAATAACTTTTGTTGCTGTTGATATTAAAAAGTGATAACAGTTTATGAGAACATCCTTCAGATCATTGTCTTGAGTTGGATTAGTGCTAGATACTGGCATGATTTTCTAAACCTAAACTTGACAGCAGTATATTCATGTCATTAGCGATGTGCGACTACAAATGATTTTACCTTTCGACTAATTTGTAACTACTAATTTAGCTATTCGAAAAGCAAATTAGTAGTATACTAATGCTATTAATCGAATAACGACTATTAATTAGTAATACTAATGTCAAATGTTGCTACGTGCGATGCGCGCCGCCTGATACCTTTAACTCCAGTCAAATGTCCCTTCTCTCCCTTCAACACAGTTGACTTAGTCGAATGATTTGTGGAGTCGAATAATTAGTAATAGTTAGTATTATTTGAAGTCGCACATTACTACTTGTCATACTTTATACAGAATGAAAAGGATAGACTGATGTAAATTTAGTTTAGAGAATTATGCAAGAAACAACACCACTGTCACACACCAAACAGTGGGAAAGACGTAATCCTAAAAAAATACTATTTTAAATAAATAAAGTTTCATGCATTAACCCGTAAAAACTAGTTTTATTTAAATACTATTTAACCTACTTTATTTGAGCATTTAAGTATTATTCTAGTATAAAGAAATACAAATAATATGAATTCTCCCTAAAAATATTTCCCTTTTTTTGGGTATTTATATATAAAACAATAATAAAATTTTCAAGTTGGAAGAATCTGCTTTATACATCTCAATTAATGTGTTAGATATTCTGCTGGAGTCTTCCCAAAAACTGTTTATAGTAAAAGTATTTTGAAAAAAGTATATAGGATTGTACTCTTCTTTCTGGTATCACTTATATGTATAGTTCAATTTGTGACTGACATTTCATTTCTTCTATTACACAGGCACAGTTACAGATGACTTGTGGACTCCATACAAGGAGCTGGTCTCAGTAGTGGAGGGCTATTTAGCTCACGAGGGTGGAGGAGCACCTTATGCTGTTCACACATTTGAGTCCGTATTAAGAAGACACAAGCAAACATTTTTGTCTTTGCTTAAAAATCCTGTGAGTCATCATTATATACTATGATTGTTATGAAAAACTGTAAATATTTAAACAAACAATAAGGCCCACATGAACCTAAGTTCTTAATCAAATTGAAAAACTAATCATGTAAGTTATTTATTATGAGTTAAAAGAAAATTCAATGAATTCCTTTTTCATGTTTTGCAGTATAATCATGCGGATAGTTCTTCTTGTCCTTTATTTCTTGTCCTTTTGTGAAAACCGAATTATTATTTTATTTAGGCGAAAAATGCCACAAGCAGAGATGAGATCAAACGTGGCATCACAGAAGGAGTCACCTTGCCTAGTGTGGGCAGAACACTCCTTTCCAAAGAACTGGTTGATGAAGCTATTATTATATCAGGTATGTGTGCAATTTCAGTTGCAATAATATTTAAGTAAAATTAAACAAGCCTTTATTCAGACAGACTTGTTACATATATTACATTTATTTAAATTATTAATCTAGTTACCCTTTGGCAAGGGCCTCCCTCAGAGTTTTCCTATGGTGTCTATCCATGGCTTTCCTGCTGCATGACTCTCCTGCAGCCACTTTTAATTCATCCTCCCATCTATCTCTTCCTTCGTCTTTCTCCATCCCGAGGATACCACACTGTAACTTCTTTGGCCCTATTATTCTTCCTTTTATATAAAATGTTAAAATGTTTTTAGATATGTACAATGTGAATGAGTACTTGGCGTTGGAGTTGTTGCATACTGCACAGCGGCAGGCTCCCCGTAACCCCGGCCTGCCCAGAGGACTGATAGCTGTGATGCTTTATTATGACGGCCGCAGAGCTCTTGTGCAGGCCCTAAAGGAACTCTTCATGGCTAGGGACGGAGTGTGCTGGTATGTCGGAATAGTTTTGTAGTTAAAAATGTTGAGTGGCTATAACTTAAAGTGACAGGTGGCAGTATAGTCCAGTCAACAAGTTCAAAAACGTGAAAAATAGAGATAAAGGTCCTTAAAATATGAGCAATAGCTCATTGGATTCGGAACGACCTCTAGAAAAATGAGTTTTGAGGATTTTACTGCACGTAAAAAATTGCAATTGTTATTAACAAAATAAGATGAAAAAAAAGAGGTATTTACGTTTTTGTTAATAACTCATAAACTATTAATATTTACGATATTTGGAAAAAAGGTCCTTAAAGAGGAGGAAATTTCCGAAAAAAAAGTCCCAGCTCCCGGAACTCTACCTCTATTATTTATAATTTTAATTTAACGCTGAAAATAGGGCTCCGCGCAGCCATTACGGCATGGGCGCACTGCCGTTAAAGACAGTTTCTTACATAAAATTATTTTTTTATAGTAACAAATATGAATTTAAAAATTTAAATAAATTATGGTGTCATCCAGATACTTGAAAGAATATATTCCCGTTGGAAAATTTTTTTTAAATTAATTTTTCAAAAAGTTATGCAATTGTTAATTAACGAATTTTTTTCCTATCTCCGTTTTCATAAATGACGACATAAAAATTTAAATAATAAACCTATAAATTTTTGGCTCTGTGGAGCTCTTCTTATATATATACTTAACAAGATCCCGCGATAAAAGTTTATTAAAGTTAATTATTTTGTTTATAACAATTTTTTAAAGTTAACAAAAAATGAAAAGTCTAAGAAATGTTATTAAAAAAAATTTTTTAAACAAATGTTATATTATTGCTGCTTTCTTATCCAACAATGGCATTAAGTAACATCGGAAAAAATTTTTTACGTCATTTTTTAAGAAATTGTTTATAAACAAATAGACAAGTTTAATATTTAAAGAATTTTTTTTTTACCATTATGTTGTCTTGGCAAAATAAAGATTTTTTAAAAAAAAAAATTTTCTTAAATATTTTTTTTTATTGTTTATAATCGTTTTTTTTATATTTCGATTGTTTAAATAATTAGTTAAGGAATGATTTTCTCTTTAAAAATCATAATTGGCATTTCTTCATAGGTAAATAGAAAAAATTTTTTTTTTTATCAATAATTTCATTGTTTGTTAACTTAACAATTTGTTATAAACAAATTCTAACTACCGTTATATTTTTTTCTAGAGCTAAAAAAAATAACAAAAACAGCCATATATATCAAAATACTAAAAAAAAATTTTTTCTATTTTTTATAACGCTTTTAAATATTACACGATACCAAAGTTGCAATGGACACTTGATTTGTCAAGTAAAAAATTAATATAACTTATAAACTATTCGAGATACGATAATGGACATTCAGGTCGTTTTTATAAAGCATTAATTAATCTTCAAAATAAGCTAAAAACTAAGTTTGTAACTATTGTTTATCAGCTAATACATGCATTTGTTTATAAAATTTTGAGATTTCTTTAACTTTTTCGTATCTCTTATGACTTACAACTTAAGAAATAATTAAAATACAGCTATAAACCTTAAAACAATTTTGTTTAGCGATACATTATCTCCCAAATTATCAATTAATCGTACCTCCATCTCTAATTGTTTAAACAATATACGTGATTTAATTAATATTTATTTAATATTTATCTAACACTTACCTTCATTTTGTAATTTTTTAATTTTCTCTACATTATTATAAGTTATTATAGCTTCTAAGTGAAACTGATTTTATCATTTATTTAAATAAATAGTTTGTTCGATGTCATTAAGTATTTTTTTTCATATTTTTTGTAGTTTGATCTGCCGTATCTTCTAAATTTTTACATGTTAACCATATTTTTATATAGTTACAAACTTGGTTTTTAGCTTATTTTAAAGATTAATTAATGCTTTATAAAAACGACCTGAATGTAAATTATCGTATCTCGAATAGTTTATAAGTTATATTAATTTTTTACTTGACAAATCAAGTGTCCGGTGCAACTTTGGTATCGTGTAATATTTAAAAGCGTTATAAAAAATAGAAAATTTTTTTTTTTAGTATTTTGATATATATGGCTGTTTTTGTTATTTTTTTTAGCTCTAGAAAAAAATATAACGGTAGTTAGAATTTGTTTATAACAAATTGTTAAGTTAACAAACAATGAAATTATTGATAAAAATTTTTTTTTTTTCTATTTACCTATGAAGAAATGCCAATTATGATTTTTAAAGAGAAAATCATTCCTTAACTAATTATTTAAACAATCGAAATATAAAAAAAACGATTATAAACAATAAAAAAAAATATTTAAGAAATTTTTTTTTTTAAAAATCTTTATTTTGCCAAGACAACATAATGGTAAAAAAAAATTCTTTAAATATTAAACTTGTCTATTTGTTTATAAACAATTTCTTAAAAAATGACGTAAAAAATTTTTTTCCGATGTTACTTAATGCCATTGTTGGCTAAGAAAGCAGCAATAATATAACATTTGTTTAAAAAATTTTTTTTAATAACATTTCTTAGACTTTTCATTTTTTGTTAACTTTAAAAAATTGTTATAAACAAAATAATTAACTTTAATAAACTTTTATCGCGGGATCTTGTTAAGTATATATATAAGAAGAGCTCCACAGAGCCAAAAATTTATAGGTTTATTATTTAAATTTTTATGTCGTCATTTATGAAAACGGAGATAGGAAAAAAATTCGTTAATTAACAATTGCATAACTTTTTGAAAAATTAATTTAAAAAAAAAATTCCAACGGGAATATATTCTTTCAAGTATCTGGATGACACCATAATTTATTTAAATTTTTAAATTCATATTTGTTACTATAAAAAAATAATTTTATGTAAGAAACTGTCTTTAACGGCAGTGCGCCCATGCCGTAATGGCTGCGCGGAGCCCTATTTTCAGCGTTAAATTAAAATTATAAATAATAGAGGTAGAGTTCCGGGAGCTGGGACTTTTTTTTCGGAAATTTCCTCCTCTTTAAGGACCTTTTTTCCAAATATCGTAAATATTAATAGTTTATGAGTTATTAACAAAAACGTAAATACCTCTTTTTTTTCATCTTATTTTGTTAATAACAATTGCAATTTTTTACGTGCAGTAAAATCCTCAAAACTCATTTTTCTAGAGGTCGTTCCGAATCCAATGAGCTATTGCTCATATTTTTAGGACCTTTATCTCTATTTTTCACGTTTTTGAACTTGTTGACTGGACTATACTTGTATTGAAATATTTAATTTAGACAATAACAGTGGACCGGACGGAAGTATTAATAATAGTAATAAATCTTTATTTTCTTCGTAATATTATGCAACAAAGTTTTCAGTGATCAGAGTTCCCTGTTAAGTTAAAAGGCCTGTGTCAGGGGACTTAAAATTAATTGTGCTTTTGTATGAAGAGCTCGATTTGGTTTGTGATAGTGGAAGCACGCACACGCACGCACGCACATACGCACACACACACGTGCATTTCCGTTTCCTGTTTTCCATAGGATATTTATACTTACACTGTCCGAAAAAAAAAACACCTCAATAATAATAAATGTGATATTCATATAGAAAACCGCTGTTAGCATCTAATGTGTACATAATAAGTTTCTGTAATTGGCCTAAAATTTATATTTTATTGTAGTGCATCCACAAAAATCGCCGTTAAACTTTGTTAAATAAATTCAATAATAATAATGACGACCTCCGTGGCGGAGTGGTTTGTACGCCGGGTTTCATGGTGTCGCCGACTCGAGAGGTCCCGGGTTCGAATCCCGGTGGGGGCAGATGTTTGTGTGATGAATACGAGCATTTGTACTCCAGTCATGGATGTTTAATATCTATATAAATAAACATATATATGTACAGTATATGTATTCTATCCGTTACCCTAGCATCCCATAACACAAGTCTTATAGTGCTTACTTTGGGGCTAGGCTAACTGGTGTGAGTGTTGGAAATATTTGTTATTATTTATTTATTGAAGTTATACTTCTTTAGGCGCGTTCTGAAAAAATGATGAGAGTGAAATTTTAAGATGCGCGCGCATCACTGTAACACAAACTTTTTAACAGCATGAAGTTGGTCGCTTTAGCGACCAACTTCATGCGTTACTTTTGTGTTTACCGCACATTAAGAAAATCTACCAACAAAATAGAAACTCTATTTAGTGGGTGCTAACGACTGCATTGTGAAGGCCTATCAAAAGTATTTATTAATCTGGAACAACGGAACCAAAGCGCGATTCAGGAGACTACAGCGCCATCTCTTGACCATTGGTGTAGTAGAACCAAAAACCACATCTTTATTTTTTGTAATAAAGTAACAGTTATAGGTATTCATATTTATAATATTTATCCACATGTTTCTAGTTTGTATATTCAGAATACGTGTTTGAGTTTCATACAAGTGCAAATCACATATGTTCTACAATATAAAAAATACTACTACATTATAAAAAAAAATACTACTACTACTAATACTACATTATAAAAAAAAAAAACTACCTGTGTAACTTTGCCTATTTTCGTCTGCGAATATTAATTGCATCCTTGCCTGTTTACGTTGTGGAGTGGTGTCATATTGTTGATCAGTGAATCATTTATTTATTTTTTCAAATTAAAACTGAACTTTATTGACTGTGTCCTTTTCCAGACTTTTTATTAATTTATTGTAATTAATTATTTGCATGCAATTAAAAACTAATTTTAAACGATGCCAAAGAAGGATAACTTCAGACGCGCCTACATAAGTACACGCACCCATTTTTTTTTATTAATGACAGTCTGTACGTTTACGGGGTAGGTCGATCAGCGCGCGCGAGGAGATAGTGTCGTACGTGTCGCGGTACGTGCAGCAGCTGGTGGCGGACGGCGTGGTGGAGGGGGTGCTGGACGCGCTGCGGCAACTCACGCTGGAGGGGGAGCTCGACCTGCTGCAGCGGAACCGCGCGCTGCCGCCGCCCGCGCACCACGCGCGCCTCAGGGACTGCATCGACAACACCAGGTAGGTGGGTCGGGAGATAGTGTCGCTGCGGCAACTCACGCTGGAGGGGGAGCTCGACCTGCTGCAGCGGAACCGCGCGCTGCCGCCGCCCGCGCACCACGCGCGCCTCAGGGACTGCATCGACAACACCAGGTAGGTGGGTCGGGAGATAGTGTCGCTGCGGCAACTCACGCTGGAGGGGGAGCTCGACCTGCTGCAGCGGAACCGCGCGCTGCCGCCGCCCGCGCACCACGCGCGCCTCAGGGACTGCATCGACAACACCAGGTAGGTGGGTCGGGAGATAGTGTCGCTGCGGCAACTCACGCTGGAGGGGGAGCTCGACCTGCTGCAGCGGAACCGCGCGCTGCCGCCGCCCGCGCACCACGCGCGCCTCAGGGACTGCATCGACAACACCAGGTAGGTGGGTCGGGAGATAGTGTCGCTGCGGCAACTCACGCTGGAGGGGGAGCTCGACCTGCTGCAGCGGAACCGCGCGCTGCCGCCGCCCGCGCACCACGCGCGCCTCAGGGACTGCATCGACAACACCAGGTAGGTGGGTCGGGAGATAGTGTCGCTGCGGCAACTCACGCTGGAGGGGGAGCTCGACCTGCTGCAGCGGAACCGCGCGCTGCCGCCGCCCGCGCACCACGCGCGCCTCAGGGACTGCATCGACAACACCAGGTAGGTGGGTCGGGAGATAGTGTCGCTGCGGCAACTCACGCTGGAGGGGGAGCTCGACCTGCTGCAGCGGAACCGCGCGCTGCCGCCGCCCGCGCACCACGCGCGCCTCAGGGACTGCATCGACAACACCAGGTAGGTGGGTCGGGAGATAGTGTCGCTGCGGCAACTCACGCTGGAGGGGGAGCTCGACCTGCTGCAGCGGAACCGCGCGCTGCCGCCGCCCGCGCACCACGCGCGCCTCAGGGACTGCATCGACAACACCAGGTAGGTGGGTCGGGAGATAGTGTCGCTGCGGCAACTCACGCTGGAGGGGGAGCTCGACCTGCTGCAGCGGAACCGCGCGCTGCCGCCGCCCGCGCACCACGCGCGCCTCAGGGACTGCATCGACAACACCAGGTAGGTGGGTCGGGAGATAGTGTCGCTGCGGCAACTCACGCTGGAGGGGGAGCTCGACCTGCTGCAGCGGAACCGCGCGCTGCCGCCGCCCGCGCACCACGCGCGCCTCAGGGACTGCATCGACAACACCAGGTAGGTGGGTCGGGAGATAGTGTCGCTGCGGCAACTCACGCTGGAGGGGGAGCTCGACCTGCTGCAGCGGAACCGCGCGCTGCCGCCGCCCGCGCACCACGCGCGCCTCAGGGACTGCATCGACAACACCAGGTAGGTGGGTCGGGAGATAGTGTCGCTGCGGCAACTCACGCTGGAGGGGGAGCTCGACCTGCTGCAGCGGAACCGCGCGCTGCCGCCGCCCGCGCACCACGCGCGCCTCAGGGACTGCATCGACAACACCAGGTAGGTGGGTCGGGAGATAGTGTCGCTGCGGCAACTCACGCTGGAGGGGGAGCTCGACCTGCTGCAGCGGAACCGCGCGCTGCCGCCGCCCGCGCACCACGCGCGCCTCAGGGACTGCATCGACAACACCAGGTAGGTGGGTCGGGAGATAGTGTCGCTGCGGCAACTCACGCTGGAGGGGGAGCTCGACCTGCTGCAGCGGAACCGCGCGCTGCCGCCGCCCGCGCACCACGCGCGCCTCAGGGACTGCATCGACAACACCAGGTAGGTGGGTCGGGAGATAGTGTCGCTGCGGCAACTCACGCTGGAGGGGGAGCTCGACCTGCTGCAGCGGAACCGCGCGCGCCTCAGGGACTGCATCGACAACACCAGGTTGTACTGCTAAACTAATTTTCTAGGGATTGTGAACGGCACAAACTTACGTATAAGTCGCAGCGCGAAACCCTAGCGCTGACTGTTATTGCGCAGAAGTAAAAAATAAGATGTGTTGGGGGCAAACGAGGTGCGCGGGCGGGCATGCGTTGCGACGATTGGCTCTCCAGTAGTTCCCATGCGCAGCTATCCCTGACGCTTTTTGTTCAGCGCTAGAGTTGCCGCGACCTGTACCAGCGCTCACGCTACTGCTGATCCAATTTTGTATAGGTTGTCCGCTGTATTAACTACGTATCCGCTCTTATGCAGTCATTCTGTCATTCAGTCATTTTTTATTAACTTAGATGTTTGTTTACTTACAATAATCTAAAGAAATTTTACTAGAAAAAATTCAAGCGGACCAAACAGCCAAACGGCCAGCCAGCCAGCCAATAACCTTGTATTAAAATCCAAGCTTAGTTTTCGTTGTTAACTGTAATAGTTCGTGACGTTAATTAATTGTAATAGTTGTTAATTATATTACCTAAACCAAATTTATTGATATTAATGTTAAATTGAGCTCGATGGCGCGGGTGGTTAGCGCGTTCAGCTGCGATCATTGAAGTTAAGCAACTTTCGCAGTGCTCGGTCATTGGATGGGTGACCAAAAATCTTCTATCTCGAGTTCCTCCATGCTTCGGAAGGCACGTTAAACCTTTGGACCCGGCTGCATCTGCAGTCTTTAGCACCCGCCAATCCGCATTGGGCCCGCGTGGTGGTTCATGGCCAAATCACCCTATTCCATCTATAGGGAAGGCCTGTACCCCAGTAGTGGGGACATTAATAGGCTGATGATAAATGTTAGTATCATCTCGTATCATATTTATTGATTTGTTTCAGAAAATTGCTAGCCGGCGTAATTTTCGCTGCATCAGCGCAACGTGGTCTTCACAGAGGTCTCATCAGGTTAATAAATGAGGTAAGGCTTTTCTCTCCATAATCTATCTTCTATCTATATATATAAAACTCAAAACTGACTGACATAGTGATTTATAAACGCACAGCCCAAACCACTGGACGGATCGGGCTGAAATTTGGCATGCAGGTAGATGTTATGACGTAGGCATCCGCTAAGAAAGGATTTTGATCAATTGTACCCCCAAGGGGATACAATAGGGAATGAAAGTTTGTATGAAACTTTGTCAATTTTATACCGATCGGGCTGAGACTTTGCATGCAGGTATAAGAAGAATCATAGATGAATGTCATTGTGTATAATACAAGCCTGAGAACAAAAACTGTAGTCTACACCGAAGCGAAGCGAGGGCGGGCCGCTAGTAACTAATAAGTTCTAATTGCAAATTTAAAAGATAAGTTCTAATAAACCGTTTTCCTTTGTACAGCAAACCACATCTCCGTCATTAGGACCAACTGGCGCTCTAGATGAGGTCTCCTTAGCACTACAGATGGCGCTACTGTATGCGTTAGATTTGTCGGTGTTGCACAGGTAATGTGTTGTCAATTATATAAATAAAAAATAAATAAATATTTCCAACTCTCACACCAATTAGCCTAACCCCAAAGTAAGCACTGTAAGGCTTGTGTTAAGGGATACTAGGGCAACGGATAGAATACATATGCTGTACATATATAATATAAGTATACTTATTTAGAAATACATATTAAACATCCATGACTGGAGTACAAATGCTCGTATTCATCACACAAACATCTGCCCCCACCGGGATTTGAAACCGGGACCTCTCGAGTAGGCGACGCCATGAAACCCGGTGTACAAACCACTCGGTCAAGGAGGTCGTCAGGTATATATATTTTCCATTTATTTCTAGATCTAGAAAAACATTTTTTATGGACGATTGGATACTTAAAGACTAGTTATTGTAATTTCCTTTCTTAATCCAGAACAAGTTCAATGAGGGCTAACGCGTCTGAAACCGCCGCTAGAGGCGCTTGTGTTGCGTGAGGTCTCCGAAATGTCAAATGTTATAGCTTGCGGGTTGACTACGTGGTTTTTTTCTAATGAAAATAATAGTTGTGAATATTTGGTAATAAATCAGACTTATTATGGCAAATATGAGTTACGTGTCAATGATTGTCAGTTATTTAAAAGCGGAGCTAAGAAAAAATATTGTCCTTCTTTTTTCCGAACAAAACGGGACTGCGCAACACTGTGGCATGGGCGATTATGTTTAAGATACGATTCTTTTGTATTAAAATGTAAACTTTGATATCACGAGCGCGTTTACTAACTTTAAAAGTTACACTTCAGGACCTCACTCAACAGTGGCGCCATCTGGTGAGACAGAAAACGGTAGCCCTCATTACTTTCCTTTCAAAGAACTAGTCCGCTAGATACGTATATTGTTCTTGCATACGCTGTGGATCCAAACGGTGACGTCACGATATATCTTTTGCGGCGTTGTTTTTTTTTTATCGCTGCTCCCTGCTTAATATCAGGCCATTGTAAAGCTAGTTTACTCATTCCCTTTCGCACAGTATTCATTTCCAGTTATCGCGTATTTTTTGCACTTTCATGGCTCATAGGGAATCTCTTCAAACTTTGTCGCACTATCCGTAAATGAAATGCTCTGCTCGCTCACTTGTTCCCTCCCTCTTACAACCTGGAGGCCTACTCTATTTCAACGAAAAACGTTGAAACGTTTCTTACTCTGTTTCTATTTCATTTCGAAAATTTGTTCGTCGGAAAGTAGTTTGACATTTATATTCTCTAAGCCTACTCTAATTCACAAAACTTTTGAAGTAAAAGTTGAATTTGACAGATAATTGTTCGAAATTTTAACCTCAAATTGACGAAATGAAAAGTGTTACCTTTTCATTTTCGTTTTGGGATTTTTATTTCAAAATTAACCTTGAATTACTACTAGAGTATTTTTAATTAAGGCTGCTTAGCGTGAGGATCATTTTTGTTTATTAATGTATTGCCAATACTTCAAAGTGTTACACGACAAATTTAGGTTGACATAAATTCGATTGCATCAACTCTACAAATTAGTCGGCTAACACTGTCAAAAGAGGTTTTTTTAATGTAATAAAAATTTTGTCATAAAGTAATATTGTTTTGAAGTAAAAAACGTTATCTAAAAAGTGTAGACAAAAAGAACTCACAAACATAACCATTCCATTCGTTCACGATAATTGTCTGTGATTCCGAACTTTATGTGCGTGTTCGAAGATGAAATAGAGTAGAGTCACTGGCGAAATTTCGTTTAAAATTCGTTCGTTGCCGAAATTTCGTTTCGGAGAAAGAGAGTAGAGCTCCTGGGATCCTTTAAAAGAGGCGTGAAGAAGCAACATGCAGGCAGGCAAGGTGAGGATGGCTGGTGTGGCAGGTAGAACTGCTGTATCAGCTATCTTCGCGTCTGGACTTCACCGTCACTTAACATCAGGTGGGGTGGAGTCATTTGTTGGACCTATCTACAAAAAAAATCTCATCATCCTTGTCATTCTAACAACTGGGGATTTCTGCGTAATCTTAAAATGTTTACCCTTTTTATTATTGGTTGTTGGTTGCCTGAGGGTTGCCTAAAATAGCTAACCTGAATCTGTGTACAGATAGCGCGTTCTAAGGTTCAAGGCGCGTTCATTTGACGACCTCCGTGGCCGAGTACCGAGTGGCGTGAATACCTTAATAATGAAATTAAATAATTGACAGTATACTAATATTGAAAATAATAATATAACAATAATAAAAAATGTACAGTTTTTCAATCGTTGCAATATATATTTAAATAATTGTTTATCAAGTTATAATAGAACATCAAATATATATAAATAAATGCATATCAATTTTATGTTAATGAAAATAATGAAATGTAAATATTTATTTAATGTTATGTCTATTTAATCGGGACAAATAATGAAATAATATATAAACATAATTATCACATGTATTACTATTAAGTGTTACTATTGTTTGTTAGAAATTCAGAAAATTTGCAATGCCATTGCAGGGCTCATGTTGTGAATCTTTATTTTAAATTTAAGAACCCATGTATGTACCAACATGAAGCAATAAAGATTATGAGATGAGACGAGTGGTTTATACACCGGGTTTTATGGTGTCGCCGATTCGAGAGGTCCCGGGTTCGAATCCCGGTGGTGGTAGATGTTTGTGTCATGAATACGAGAATTTGTACTCCAATCATGGATGTTTAATATGTATTTCTATATAAATATACTTTTAAATGTGCAGTACATGTATTCTATCCGTTACCCTAGTATCCCATAACACAAGCCTTATAGTGCTTACTTTGGGGCTAGGCTAAATGGTGTGAGTGTTGAAAATATTTATTTATTTAAGGTACGCTTAATCGGTTACGCGTGTCCATAGAACGCCATAGAAATACTTGTAGATACGCGTACCCTCTACAAGTAGAAAACCGCCTTATTTTGTTACAAAATGTTACTAAAGTTGAACATGGTTTAAAACTGATGCTGTCAATATTGTTCGTTAAAAAGAAGACGGTGACAGCATTTAGAAATCACCATGACAAAGTTTAGTCTGCGTATTAGAATGAAATGAAATGAAATGTCATTTATTCAGTCTAGGCTGTTACAAGCACTTGTGAAGGTCAATAAGCTACGCCATCGGTTCGCAAAACTACGGCGGGAGACCTTGTACTGAGAAGAACCGGCAAGAAACTCAGCAAGGGCTGCTTTTTTCTCCCTGTATTGATATATACAGCGTCGTCAAGTTGAAAAATGACTTCAGAGATACTTCTGAAGTCACTTTCCATTACATTATTTAGGATATAGATATATAGTTACAATAAATTTTATATTTAGTATATAGGAAGCGGCATTAGATAGGTACCATATTACTGTTACAAAAACTGACTCATACCCATCAAATAACAAATTACAAGAAACACTATGTCCATGCATTATTTGGTTAGTGGAAGCTCAATCAGATCTTGGGGAACTTTGTTAAACAATGCAATACTACATCCCAGAAATAAACCTCTTTATTTTTGGAGTCTGAAACATGGAACGGCAAGCTTGTTCTTAAATCTCGTGTTAAATTTATGGGTTTGACTTTTTTTTGCAAATGCGTCATAGTTTTTTCTTATTAATGAATCAATATTTTAACTGTTTCCACACCGATTTTTATTATATTATTTTAGAGGAGCTCGATGGCGCAAATGGTTAGCGCGTTCGGCTGCGATCGTTGAATTTAAGCAACTTTCGCAGTGGTCGGTCATTGGATGGGTGACCAAAAATTACTATCTCGAGCTCCTCTGTGCTTCGGAAGGCACGTTAAGCCGTTGGTCCCGGCTGCATCTGCAGTCGTTAGCTCCCACCAATCCGCACTGGGCCCGCGTGGTAGGTCATGGCCCAATCTCCCTATTCCATCCATAGGGAAGGCCTGTGCCCCAGCAGTGGGGACATTAATAGGCTGATGATGATGATGATCATGACACTGATTTTGATTTGTGCAGACGTGAAGACGGCGAGGAATTGGCGAAAATGTTGCCCCTGATAGAGGACCCTGAGCTGATACCCATGCTAGTGGAGAAACTGTCGCCCGCGTCTCAAGGCGGTGCTGAAATTGACCCCGCCTCCGGTACTGGCGCTGGTAAGTTTTATTTTTTATGTTATAGGGGGCATACGAGCAGACGGCTCACCTGATGGTAAGCGATCACCGTCGCCCATGGACACTTGCAACACCAGGAGTATCACAAATGCCATGCCGGCCTTTAAGGAAGGAGTACGCTCTTTTGGTAAGTTGTAGATCTCATCGTCTTATAAAAATGCTTAATATAAAATATGTTTAAACAGAAACTGTATTAGTGACTGAATGAGCACAATTTCTAAGATATAGGTTCATAGGTATAATTTTTATTTAAAGCATGTAACTGCTTGATGTTTAAATCTAAAAAAATTTTTTACTAAAAAAAATTATATAGGTTCATTGTTAAACAAACAACTATGTCATTTTTTTAATTAATTGTGTCTATCTGAATTTATTTTATTCAATTTCTAATGTTCCGAATCTATAATATAAGGCTATATGACATATTTTGAAATGAATGAATATTGTATTTTATCCTACTGACATGCTATTTCGCTTATAAATTCAATTTAAATTCAATTTATACTTGTGTTATAGACTTATATGGCAAAACATGTGCACATTATTAATTTTGGACCCGGAAACCTACATACAGTCCACACCAGGGATCCAAGGACTGAAGACTCATCACTTACATCACTTTTATCACCCTTCGAGCCGGATCCATTTTCTAAAACCAACAGCTGGTCCTTCGAGCCGGATCCATTTTCTAAAACCAACAGCCGGTCCTTCGAGCCGGATCCATTTTCTAAAACCAACAGCCGGTCCTTCGAGCCGGATCCATTTTGGAAAACCAACAATGACGACGTCTATGAAGCTACGATTCCGTGGACAACAGCTCTAAGGCTCGTATTACAGAATCACAACTGAGTGTTGATCTTTGCTTGGGTAGAGTTAGACAGGGATGTCGCTCTGTATAGCACAAAGCGACATCCCTTTCTAACTGTGCTCAAGTGGGGATCAGCGCTCGGTTTGTCATTCTGTAATACGAGCCTAAATCTTTGGTTGATGATGTATTTGTCCTTGCAGGTTCCGGTGCCCGGGCGCTGTGCCAGCTGTCCCTGGGTCTGGCGCTGGCGGCGCTGAAGCGAGGCCCGCAGTCCCTGGCGCGACACCACCTCAAGATGGAGCTGCTGGAGCACGACGAGCTGCTGGTGGACGCCGCCATCGACGGGAAGGTGACGTATGCTGCCCTGCCCCCTATACTGAGGGCATAAAAGACTACACTGACATAAAGCATAAAAGATGTCAATGACAGACGTAAACATTACCAAAGAGATTATTATATTAAATTAAAGACGAAATAGTAATAGAGATTAATACATCAATGGTTCCGTAACCAAAGTTTAAAATGGTTGGTGTGGCAGCTTATAATAACTGCTGTACCAGCTAAATTCGTGTCTGGACTTTATCACCACTTAACATCAGGTGGGGTAGAGTCATTTGCCTACCTAGCTTTATATATTAAAAAAACCGGCCAAGTGTGTGTCGTACCTACTACGCGCATTGTACGATTCCGTAGTTGCTCGTCATCATCACAATATATTTTGGAAAGAGTTTATATTTTAAGCAATTTCAGGGGGGAGATGCCTATACAAACGTTATTTGTTCGTAAAAGTAAAGTAATAACATGCCTTAACTGATTATTACATATTCAGATAAATTATTTTATAAAAGAAAACAAACCTGTCGTTGTCAGAAAAATTAAGAGTAATGTGATAGGAAGAAAGGCAACTATATATAGTCTATATATATAAAACTCAAAGGTGACTGACTGACTGACATAGTGATCTATCAACGCACAGCCTAAAACACTGGACGGATCGGGCTGAAATTTGGCATGCAGGTAGATGTTATGACGTAGGCATCCGCTAAGAAAGGATTTTGATCAATTCTACCCCCAAGGAGATAAAATAGGGAATGAAAGTTTGTATGAAACTTTGTCAATTTTAAACCGATCGGGCTGAGACTTTGCATGCAGATATAAAAAGAATCATAGATGAATGCCATTGTGTATAATACAAGCCTGAGAACAAAAACTAGTCTACACTTCAGCTCTACATCGAAGCGAAGCGATGGCGGGCCGCTAGTAGGTGAACAAAACTATACATTATTAGTGATGTGGGATCTGAATTTTTCTAATTATATCGTAGCGTCCCTATTTCCAAAGTGAATCTTTTGTACTTTTTGTATTCTGTGTCGAAACTATAATAGTGCTCCAATCAATACTCAACTTTAATGGTGGGGCTTAAAATTCAAAATTGTCTATCAGGTATTCGAGTATTTGGACGAGGCGATCCTATCGACAGATTACGTGTGGAAGGAGGAATACTACCAGCGCCGCATACACACGCTCATCACTGATTTCATTGTGCTCATGCATTCCAAGCTCATGGAGATGAGGGTTAAGTAAGTGTTTCTGCCATTTTTATAGATGAAGAAATTAATAATTAATAAGTCCAGTATTACAAGTCTATGTGAATTATTTTTTAAGGTGCATACAGCAATTTCCATACATTTTTTGGCACAATATCGAGCCGTTACCGCCAAATTATCGTAAGCGACACTTGTCGAAATGCGTTTTTTGTGGAAACTAATAATTTTAAACCGTAACGGACCCATCTCTGTTGATATTTCCCTCCAAAAGAACACCGTTATATTATAACGGTTATATTTTGGAGGGAAATATCAACAGAGATGGGTCCGTTACGGTTTAAAATATTAGTTTCCACAAAAAACGCATTTCGACAAAATTGTCGCTTACGATAATTTGGCGGTTACGGCTTGATATTAGTCTCTAAAGTTATTCTTTAAATATCCATACGTGGTAAGTTAACTCTTGTTATTAAAATTGTAGTTTCTTACGCGAGTACTCTGGCTATGTCTCGCCGGGTGCTCTCTTTAGGCACGGAACCCGCCGTTAAAATGTACTGTGTAACTCGTACAGGGCCGACGAAGCGGCGCGGACCCTCCAGATGTACATGGCGGAGGGTCTAGCGCCCCCCGCGGGCGCCGGCGCCAGTCGCACGCGGCTCGACGCGTTACTGCGGTGCGTGGAGCGCCTGTACCGCCGCGACCCGCTCGGGCTGCGGCACGACTACTGGCTCGCGTGCCACGCGCCCCTCAAGCACTGCCCCGCGCACTCGCGCGAGTACAGGTGAGCACCGCCCCCCTCCCCCCCCCCGCTCCCCCTGCGGCACGACTACTGGCTCGCGTGCCACGCGCCCCTCAAGCACTGCCCCGCGCACTCGCGCGAGTACAGGTGAGCACCGCCCCCCTCCCCCCCCCCGCTCCCCCTGCGGCACGACTACTGGCTCGCGTGCCACGCGCCCCTCAAGCACTGCCCCGCGCACTCGTGCGAGTACAGGTGAGCACCGCCCCCCCCCCCCCCCCCCGCTCCCCCTGCGGCACGACTACTGGCTCGCGTGCCACGCGCCCCTCAAGCACTGCCCCGCGCACTCGCGCGAGTACAGGTGAGCACCGCCCCCCTCCCCCCCCCCGCTCCCCCTGCGGCACGACTACTGGCTCGCGTGCCACGCGCCCCTCAAGCACTGCCCCGCGCACTCGCGCGAGTACAGGTGAGCACCGCCCCCCTCCCCCCCCCCCGCTCCCCCTGCGGCACGACTACTGGCTCGCGTGCCACGCGCCCCTCAAGCACTGCCCCGCGCACTCGCGCGAGTACAGGTGAGCACCGCCCCCCTCCCCCCCCCCGCTCCCCCTGCGGCACGACTACTGGCTCGCGTGCCACGCGCCCCTCAAGCACTGCCCCGCGCACTCGCGCGAGTACAGGTGAGCACCGCCCCCCTCCCCCCCCCCGCTCCCCCTGCGGCACGACTACTGGCTCGCGTGCCACGCGCCCCTCAAGCACTGCCCCGCGCACTCGCGCGAGTACAGGTGAGCACCGCCCCCCCCCCCCCCCCCCCCCCCCCGCTCCCCCTGCGGCACGACTACTGGCTCGCGTGCCACGCGCCCCTCAAGCACTGCCCCGCGCACTCGTGCGAGTACAGGTGAGCACCGCCCCCCTCCCCCCCCCCCGCTCCCCCTGCGGCACGACTACTGGCTCGCGTGCCACGCGCCCCTCAAGCACTGCCCCGCGCACTCGCGCGAGTACAGGTGAGCACCGCCCCCCTCCCCCCCCCCCCCCCCCCGCTCCCCCTGCGGCACGACTACTGGCTCGCGTGCCACGCGCCCCTCAAGCACTGCCCCGCGCACTCGCGCGAGTACAGGTGAGCACCGCCCCCCCCCCCCCCCCCCCCCCCCCCGCTCCCCCTGCGGCACGACTACTGGCTCGCGTGCCACGCGCCCCTCAAGCACTGCCCCGCGCACTCGCGCGAGTACAGGTGAGCACCGCCCCCCTCCCCCCCCGCTCCCCCTGCGGCACGACTACTGGCTCGCGTGCCACGCGCCCCTCAAGCACTGCCCCGCGCACTCGCGCGAGTACAGGTGAGCACCGCCCCCCTCCCCCCCCCCCGCTCCCCCTGCGGCACGACTACTGGCTCGCGTGCCACGCGCCCCTCAAGCACTGCCCCGCGCACTCGCGCGAGTACAGGTGAGCACCGCCCCCCTCCCCCCCCGCTCCCCCTGCGGCACGACTACTGGCTCGCGTGCCACGCGCCCCTCAAGCACTGCCCCGCGCACTCGCGCGAGTACAGGTGAGCACCGCCCCCCTCCCCCCCCCGCTCCCCCTGCGGCACGACTACTGGCTCGCGTGCCACGCGCCCCTCAAGCACTGCCCCGCGCACTCGCGCGAGTACAGGTGAGCACCGCCCCCCTCCCCCCCCCCGCTCCCCCTGCGGCACGACTACTGGCTCGCGTGCCACGCGCCCCTCAAGCACTGCCCCGCGCACTCGCGCGAGTACAGGTGAGCACCGCCCCCCTCCCCCCCCCGCTCCCCCTGCGGCACGACTACTGGCTCGCGTGCCACGCGCCCCTCAAGCACTGCCCCGCGCACTCGCGCGAGTACAGGTGAGCACCGCCCCCCTCCCCCCCCCCCGCTCCCCCTGCGGCACGACTACTGGCTCGCGTGCCACGCGCCCCTCAAGCACTGCCCCGCGCACTCGCGCGAGTACAGGTGAGCACCGCCCCCCTCCCCCCCCCGCTCCCCCTGCGGCACGACTACTGGCTCGCGTGCCACGCGCCCCTCAAGCACTGCCCCGCGCACTCGCGCGAGTACAGGTGAGCACCGCCCCCCTCCCCCCCCCGCTCCCCCTGCGGCACGACTACTGGCTCGCGTGCCACGCGCCCCTCAAGCACTGCCCCGCGCACTCGCGCGAGTACAGGTGAGCACCGCCCCCCTCCCCCCCCCCGCTCCCCCTGCGGCACGACTACTGGCTCGCGTGCCACGCGCCCCTCAAGCACTGCCCCGCGCACTCGCGCGAGTACAGGTGAGCACCGCCCCCCTCCCCCCCCGCTCCCCCTGCGGCACGACTACTGGCTCGCGTGCCACGCGCCCCTCAAGCACTGCCCCGCGCACTCGCGCGAGTACAGGTGATACAGAGAATTTTACAAATTTTTTGTTTGAAATATAAATTCACCAAAAAAAGCGTGTGGACAGAATGACGTCTTTGGTAAAAGAACTCTAGTGGGAGTGCTCTATGGTACTATTATATCAAGCTGATTTACGATTGACCGTTGTTACTCCGACCTATCTCAGATTACTTGCTCCAAAGATTTATTTGCACCATAAATTGCAATGCTACTGCATTGTATAAATTGAACAAAAACTACTTTAAAGAACATCTTAAACATATCTTACCCTAAGTAGCATAATCGGTCAGTGCATTCGCCCGGATTGCGAAGGGTACGGGTTCGAGTCCCATCCGCTGCCTGGTCCGCGTGGATTTTTGTTCTAGTAAAACTTTTCTTTAGATTTAAACATCTAGCAGTTAAATGCTTAAAAAAAAACAACTATAATTGTTATTTCTTCTTTCAAATGTTTAATACTTGAAAAAGTATTCATTTCGTCTTGTGGGTTACCTACAATGCGAAGAAATGGCGCTGCCTTGCAGCTTAAGGCTAGGAAAATTTCGACGCGGCGAATAGGGTCGTGGTAGCATAATGGTCAGTGCATTCGCCCGGATTGCGAGTCCCGTCCGCTGCCTGGTCCGCGTGGATTTTTTTCTAGTAAAACTTTTCTTTAGGTTTAAACATCTAGCAGTTAAATGCTTAAAAAAAACATAACGCTAAGTAGTTGAATTCAAGCTTACTCATATTATACGAATGTTCCAGATCCGGCGGTCGCGCCGCCACTCTATACAAGTTCGTCCGTCTGTCCGGCGAGTTGGTTTCTGCCACGTTACTGCCCGCGTACTTGCGGGCGCTGGCCAGCTTAGCGGTGCCGCGACATACGTGGGCTTTACTAGCGAGACGAGACGCATTATCTGCACATCATCTTCTAACTGCCTTACAACGATACCATACGTGAGTAAATAATATAACTACTTATTCAAATGAGGGCTACCGTTTTCTGCCTCACCAGATGGCGCCACTGTTGAGTGAGGTCCTAATTGCACATGAAATCAAAGGTTACATTTAGATCGTATTTTAACACAAAAGAACCATATCCTAAACATAATAGGCCATGCCACAGTGACGCGCAGTTCCGTTTTATTCGGAGAAAATGGGAACATAATCATTTTTCTAAGCTCAAATTTTTAATAACTGACATTCATTGCCACATAACTCATATTTGCCATAATTAAGCCGAATTGTTACCAATTATTCACAACATTATTTTAATTAGAAATAAACCCGCGTAGTCAACCAACAAGCAATAACATTTGACATTTCGGAGACCTCACGCTACACTAGCGCCTCTAGCGGCGGATTCATACGCGATAGCCCTCATTGAATCTAAAGAATTTTTTGAAGTGGAAACTTCTTTAGCGGCGTTGTTCACTTTTTTTTATGGGTAAAAAATGTTAAACTCGCGTCAGGTTAACACGTATCAAAAAAAAAAAAAGTAATCATTACGCATTTATATGTCAGGAACCTCCGCGCGGACCCTCAACCGTTCTCGGATCATCAACATTCGTCTCTGGGCGCGTCGGCCATAATAACTCCGGCCGCCCGCCCTGGGAAACTGCTTGTGAGACAAGAAGAGGTAATAATAATAATAATAAATATTTCCGACACTCACACCAATTAGCCTAGCCCCAAAGTAAGCACTATAAGGCTTGTGTTATGGGATGCTAGGGTAACGGATAGAATACATATACTGTACATATATAAGTATACTAGCTGACCCAGCGAACTTCGTACCGCCTTAAAAAAATAGGGGTTGTCCAGCGGACAAAATTGTGAATCTAAACCATTCTCAGATCCCCTTGAACACACACAAAAAATTTCATCAAAATCGGTCCAGTCGTTTAAGAGAAGTTCAGTGACATACACACTCACAGAAGAATTATATATATAAAGATTTATATAAATACATATTAAACATCCATGACTGGAGTACAAATGCACGTATTCATCACACAAACATCTGTCCCCACCGGGATTCGAACCCGGGACCTCTCGAGTCGGCGACAGCCATGAAACCCGGCGTACAAACCACTCGGCCACGGAGGTCGTCAAAAGTAACTCAAACAATCATATTTGATTAAAATCTGACTTGTACTTAAATATGTTTTGTGAAATTGTAAGAGGAGCTCGATGGCGCGGGTGGTTAGCGCGTTCGGCTGCGATCGTTGAAGTTAAGCAACTTTCGCAGTGGTCGGTCATTGGATGGTTGACCAAAAATCTTCTATCTCGAGTTCCTCCGTGTTTCGGAAGGCACGTTAAGCTGTTGGTCCCGTTTGCATCTGCAGTCGTTAGCACCCGCCAATCAGCACTGCGCCCGCGTGTTGGGTCATGGCCCAATCTCCTTATTCCATCCATAGGGAAGGCCTGTGCCCCAGCAGTGGGGACATTAATAGGCGGATGGTAAAATTGTAAGTGCTTTGTTCAGTTTCTGTCTTCTCTTAGTCACGAACAGCTAGCGAGAAAGTATGCGTGTCAAATGTATGGAAAAAGCTACTTTGGTTTTACGTCCGCTAGGCGGCGCTGCTTGGTTTCCAAAGAAACTTTGACTTTGGCTATACGATGACGGATCTCTCAGAGCTCGTGCTTGGGCTACAGTTCTGCATAAAATTATTTTTTACGTTTAGAAAGACAGAAAACGACATCGCTTTGGCCAAAGCGTGACAGTTGGTGAAAATTGTGAAAGAGGCAAAACGTAGCAAAATAGTAGGAAACGTCCTATTTTCGAATTCGAATAGTTTGCGAGTGCGAAATGTCTATGTCAAACTTTGTATGGAAACTTGAGCAGCAGCGCCACAAAGTACGTAACGAGAACTAAAAATACACATTTACATACAGTACACATTTGACAATGACATTTCGCTCCACAAACTATTCAAATTCGATATTGGTTCGTGCTAAGGGTACAGCTCAATCTCTGTTATTATGACAATTAATTCACAGTGTTTTGATCGAAGTAATTTGTTGTGAAACCGATTTCAAATAAATATTTATTCCTGTCCGTTGCCTGGTCCGCGTGGATTTTTTTCTAGTAAACTTTTCTTAAGATTTAAACATCTAGCAGTTAAATGCTTAAAAAATAAATAAAATCATAAATATTTATTCTTTTAATATTTGAGGTCTTATGTATGAAGTTTTTGGCGCAAACTAATCGAACGAGCATTTAAATTGATCTACAGATTATGCAGACTTAAGCGATTTAACAGATGAGTAGACTTTTCGTCTCAGTGCTGCTACTGGAGAAAACTCATTAGACCGTTAAGGTTTTTTTAGAATAAGGTGCGCTCAAATTCGACCGCTACCGTATTGGTAAATATTGGCGTTTTATGTGTCAGGTGGAAGCAATGATAGCCGCATTGAAACTGATCGCGTCAGTGGCGAAACAGGACGAGGCCGCCTGCGCTAACATCTGCGAGAACTTGCAGTGGGACGCTGTCAATGTCATGTTTGGTTAGTATACAATAAAAAAAATGAATAATCCCGTTAATAGCTATAATGTGTGTAACATGAAAGTGTAAAACAATGGTCTCAATGCTGGCATGATTCTCCAACTTTAAAACTAAATTTAACTTCAGTCTCTCCTTTTCATTCTCTGGGAAGGCCAAAGGGGAAGATCTTCCTCCGAATTGGGTGATGGTAGCTCGGGGGCCGCGGCCCGACTGATGTTGGTCGGGCATCGTATAATTATATCGAGTGTTAGCCTCCGAATTTCATTTGTGCGATGTAGGCTTCCATGCTATTGTGATCGCAGCGCAGGTAGCGCCATCTCTTGAGGAGACGAGTGATTATTTACTCCTTGTCAGTCATATGTGGGGCATATAGATGTCGCCGCCACAATTCTGTTTAAAGAACGAAAAGGATAAACTGTTGTCTAATTAAATTTTAGATTAAGATAATCATGCCAGAGTTGATTACATTTATATGTTTATGAATTGGTAGGTCTGGTGTGCTGTCACGTGCCCATCCAGCTGAAGGCGGAGCTGCTGACGACGCTGGGGGCTCTAGGGGGCACCACCGCCACCGCCGGCCGCGTGTGGGCCGCGCTCGAGGCCGCGCGCCTGGTGACCGCCAACGACGACAAGCGGGCGCTCACCGCCGACCTCAACGAGGTAACGCTCACCTGAGCTCTAGGGGGCACCACCGCCACCGCCGGCCGCGTGTGGGCCGCGCTCGAGGCCGCGCGCCTGGTGACCGCCAACGACGACAAGCGCGCGCTCACCGCCGACCTCAACGAGGTAACGCTCACCTGAGCTCTAGGGGGCACCACCGCCACCGCCGGCCGCGTGTGGGCCGCGCTCGAGGCCGCGCGCCTGGTGACCGCCAACGACGACAAGCGGGCGCTCACCGCCGACCTCAACGAGGTAACGCTCACCTGAGCTCTAGGGGGCACCACCGCCACCGCCGGCCGCGTGTGGGCCGCGCTCGAGGCCGCGCGCCTGGTGACCGCCAACGACGACAAGCGCGCGCTCACCGCCGACCTCAACGAGGTAACGCTCACCTGAGCTCTAGGGGGCACCACCGCCACCGCCGGCCGCGTGTGGGCCGCGCTCGAGGCCGCGCGCCTGGTGACCGCCAACGACGACAAGCGGGCGCTCACCGCCGACCTCAACGAGGTAACGCTCACCTGAGCTCTAGGGGGCACCACCGCCACCGCCGGCCGCGTGTGGGCCGCGCTCGAGGCCGCGCGCCTGGTGACCGCCAACGACGACAAGCGGGCGCTCACCGCCGACCTCAACGAGGTAACGCTCACCTGAGCTCTAGGGGGCACCACCGCCACCGCCGGCCGCGTGTGGGCCGCGCTCGAGGCCGCGCGCCTGGTGACCGCCAACGACGACAAGCGCGCGCTCACCGCCGACCTCAACGAGGTAACGCTCACCTGAGCTCTAGGGGGCACCACCGCCACCGCCGGCCGCGTGTGGGCCGCGCTCGAGGCCGCGCGCCTGGTGACCGCCAACGACGACAAGCGGGCGCTCACCGCCGACCTCAACGAGGTAACGCTCACCTGAGCTCTAGGGGGCACCACCGCCACCGCCGGCCGCGTGTGGGCCGCGCTCGAGGCCGCGCGCCTGGTGACCGCCAACGACGACAAGCGGGCGCTCACCGCCGACCTCAACGAGGTAACGCTCACCTGAGCTCTAGGGGGCACCACCGCCACCGCCGGCCGCGTGTGGGCCGCGCTCGAGGCCGCGCGCCTGGTGACCGCCAACGACGACAAGCGCGCGCTCACCGCCGACCTCAACGAGGTAACGCTCACCTGAGCTCTAGGCCCTTGAATGTAACACAAAAAGGTACGGACCAAGAGTCTGGAGCTTAGATTGAAACAAAAAGGGAAGATACGGTACGCTCATACTAGCATAAAATAATATAAGTTCCGACTCAACTACATAAGCAACTCTCACACACGCACACATTTGTAAATAAACATTCAATCGAGCAAACGAGACAGAACTGAACGATCAACGCAGCGCGAGCGAAACGGCGAGTCCGCATCAGAGTCCAAACGGCTGAGCTGTATTGTTGTCCTTTTCTTGATAACAGAGAAAAAAATGTTTTTACAGTATAACGAATGAAAAGTGTGTTCTTTATAAAATAATCTCTTATCTATTAGACAAGCCCGTCCGTCCGTCTGTGGTGCTGTTTCAGCGGCCAAACTGTAAGAGATAGATAAAGAGAATGTTTAAGTTATAAGTTAAGAATGGTCTGATAAGACTACAAACCGGATTTGAGTAACGTAGCACTTCCGGTTTTCGAGAAATCACGAATTTCAAACGAAACCACACAAAATCTCCCAAGTTCTCAATTAATTAAATACATTTTTTTTTAAAATAAGGTTTTGGTGAAGATTTGGTTCACTGGTTTGCTAGTTAATTTATAATCTAATTTGACATGCATGTAACAATAGACAATTTCAAATTATATTCATAAATTGTGATTCCAATGTTAAAATAATTCTACTTCTTTCATAGGTCCATATCTATTTGTATACCTTAATTAAGGTGGAAATGTAGTGTATACTAACAAAAATTTTATATACCATGTATACTAACCAATGTTTCACAAATAAAATTCTGATTCTGACAACCTCTATTTATATGTGATCAGGTGGAATGCCGCATGGAAGACTACCCGCTGTCGCGCGCGTTCGTGTCGCTTCTGATATCGCTGGTGACCGCAGGCCCGGTGCCTCGAGCCCTGGGGGCGGGCACCAGGGCTCCGGGGCTGGAGCCCTATTTACACCACGTACTACATCGCCTCGCTCTACCAGCGCCACATCGGCCCCACGCCCGCCCCGCCGCTAGATGGCAGGTCTGTATGTGTGTCTATACCAGGAGGCCTACTCTATTTCAATGAAAAACGAAATTTCGATCGAAATTTCGCACGTTCTTTACTCTGTTTCTATTTCATTTCGAAAAATTCGTTCGTCCGAAAAATAGTTTGATATTTAAATTCTCCTAGCCTACTCTAATTCACAAAAACTTTTTAACTAAAAGTAGAATTTGACAGATAATTGTTCGAAATTTTAACCTCAAATTGACGAAATGAAAAGTGTTACCTTTTCATTTTCGTTAAGGGATTTTTGTTTAAATTAAACCTAAAATTACAACTAGAGTATTTTTAATTAAGGCTGCTTAGCGTGAAGAACATTTTTAGTATGCAAAATTTACAAATAAATCAAATTTTGCAATGGCAATTTTGTATTGCCAATACTTCAATGTGTTACACGACAAATTTAGGTTGACATACATTCGATTACATAAACTCTACAAATTAGTCGGCTAACACTGTCAAAAGAGGTTGTTTTAATGTAATCAAAAAATTTGTTATAAAGTAATATTGTTTTGAAGTAAAAAACGTTAACTAAAAAGTATTGACAAAAAGAACTCACAAACATAACTCATTCCATTCGTTCACGATAATTGTCTGTGATTTCGAACTTTATGTGCGTGTTCGAAGATGAAATAGAGTAGAGTCACTGGCGAAATTTCGTTTAAAATTCGTTCGCTGCCGAAATTTCGTTTCGGAGAAAGAGAGTAGAGCTCCTGGGGTGTTCAAACGGTCGATCAGTACCCTTAATACAAGTTTTACAATTACGAAAACTATGATAGTTTTCGTGAGCTCGCACTCGTACTAAGGGTACTTACTGATTTTATTGTTACCGTTTCAATACAAATTAACAGTGTTTAAATTCTATCATTGAATCATTTGCGTCTTCTTAAATTTTAAGTATATTTGGTTAGTTTTCACCAAAATGGACATAGAAACATAATTCACGATTACGAAAACTATGATAGTTTTCGTGAGCTCAAACTTGTACTAAGGGTACAGGTCGATCGCAATCGACCTACGAATATCTATATATGTAGCACCCTACCTAGGTAGGTAGATAGGTGGGGTGTATCGTGTATGTATGACAACCCTGTATCACACATACTTGCAGGCTTTCAGAGTTGATCGTAAGTAGTCTAAAAAATTTTAAGTTGGTTCACCAGCAGTTCAAGTTTGAGCACTCCTGGTAGCCATTCGCCTAACGGAAATGCTTTGGAAAACGCTAACGCTTACTTTTGCATTGGTAATAACAATATTAAAAAAAATGAGCGTGAGGTATTTGAAAACCTTCGGCGGTCAGAAGTAACAAAATGAAATCGAAAGCGTTAGCGTTTTCCAAAGCATTTCCGTTAGGCGAATGGCCCCCTGGTCTATACCAAGGAATTGGAAATGTTATGGAAGCATTACTCTAACAAAGGCCGCTAAAACATGGTTCCAAACTCACACACCTTCACTTCAATACTAACGCAACACGAACACAGATAAAACGAAATACTTTGACAAATAAAATATCTGCAAATTTAAGCGGGCTATCCATTTATTGGTTAAGATAATGTCAAACGCAAATCCCAGCCAATCCCGTGATCGGCGTGTTGATCTCGGTTTTTTCGCCCCGCCCACTTGTTCGCAGTATACCTGGAACCAATTTTTAGCGCAGTTCGAATTCCATATTATTTTTATCAGCTAAAAAATGACATGAATTAAGAAAAGTTAGAAAAACATTTGGATTCACATAATAATAATAAATTAAATATTTTTAGAAAATCAAGTCAATGATGTTAGTAACAATAATCCTTAAATCTTCTAATCTATATTATAAAATCCAATTATAAAATCTATATTAGTTAATGAGAAGAATTCTCTAATGAGTAATATTCGAAAGTACTTACGAACTTTCAAAACTTTTTTCAAATAAGGAAATTTCATTTCGTTATTGTTTCAATACAGTCCAATAAAGAAGAAAAAAATAACTACGTTCCAGTTATGATAACAATATTTCGACTACAACAAATGGTATCTTATAGATTCACGTATTTGTGGCTAAATTATAAATATAAGAAAAGAAAGACTAATGTTAAATTTTGTAAATTTTTGAGATCATAATTGTGCCCATTATTGTATTTTCTTATTTTTAAAACACGTCCTCGTAGCATGAGCACCTCAATGTACATTATATCACGTTTTTTATCGCGTTCAACTGTCAAACACCATAGTAATTTGACAATTGGACGTGAGAAAAACGCGTTAAATATCATATCGAGGTGTTCATGCTAGGGGGGATGGTTTTGTTAATCAATTACCTCATATAGATGCTGTCCCTCTGCTTCCGCCTTTTCGCTCTATGGCTGGAGCAATACGAACCGTCACCGTCCGATTTCCCGCCGCCGGGTCGAGAGCCGGATGTGAACCCGCCGCCTGGCTTCCGGCTGCTGCTACTGGTGCATTCCAAGTCAGAATTACTGAGACTACTGCTCAACTCGGTAGACGACGCTTTCGATATACTCGACCGACAACTGCTCGTTCAGGGAAAGGTGAGAATAGTACATTACGATACGCGTGACCTAAGTTGCCTATTACTGCACGGCGTGAAGTTAGCGCCCGAACGGAGCGAGGGTGCTAAACGCCGTGCAGTAATAGACAACTTAGGCCACAAGTATCGTATACTATTTTATAGCAAGTGTGGCATAAACCCACCCCGGACGCGGGCAAGAGGGGGGGTTTATTTTACGAATTCGATTTATTCTCTCGTCGCCATTTTTTAAATGCATTATACGCTGCTGTATACAGCCGTTTCGATTTTTGGGGCAACAAATTCAATGTCACCGACTTCGCCACTTCTTTAATTGCGTCCGGAACAATTTCACCGTTCTCGTATTCGCTTAGGTCACTATCCGAACTGGCCATTTTCGACCAACATATACAATTCTCGCGGAATGAATTATAGCTAACCGTTTCTCCTTGTTTTGGCTGTCACTGAAAATTCCTAACCTATCGCTAATTTGTCATTTGTTTGCTGTGAGTTTTTAAGCTCCAAATGACATTTAAATGTGTTTCCTTTTATTTTTTCTACATGAGTGAAGTTGGTCAATTCATTTACACACCGTGCAGAAATAGGCAACTTAGGTCACGGAAAAGCGTGCGTAAAGTGCGGGTTTAGGTCACACTGTGCTATAAACACTTATTATTCGTATTTAATTTATTTTAGCACTAGTCCACCTTTCAGAAGACCAAAGTTAAATAACACTACCTTTTGGTAGGGTATTTGACAAGTTTTAGAAAACGATCTCACGTTATTGACTAATGTTTATGGAGTCCGTAAAAAGTGGATATTTCATCATTCTGTTGTGTATTTCAGTAAAAATAACCAAATCAAAAACTCCATTTTGAAGTTGCCGCGAAATCGTTTCTCTGGACAATATGGCGTCTTACTAGTGTGTGACGTCACACGACTGTTATTGAAACGTCAAACGATACAATGTAATGTCACTTTAACCGGAAGTTTACTTTCTAAAGTTTACTTTAGAAAGGGATGTCGCTATATATAGCACATAGCGGCATCCCTTTCTAACTGTACTCAAGTAAAGATCAACACTTAGTTGTCATTCTGTAATACGGGCCTAACAGTTTCCAAGCTTTTGCTCTCTAAAGATGACTTGCCTTCTCCGAAATTCAATAAAATCGATTCAGTGTAGGCATGACAAACAAACTTACGATATGATAGCATATTTGTTTCTTAGGTTTTCACGCACATCACTCATTAAATAAAACTAGTTTTAACGGGTTAATGCACGAAACTTTATTTATTTATTGGCGTTTCGCAGCCTTTTCAGGTCTGCATCGTCAAAATACTACTACCATATTCTCTAACTAGTTTTGTTACATTAAAAAATAAACATTTTTTTTAATGGTATTGAAATCAGCAGAGTGATTTATAAAATAATGTAAAGTAAGTTAAGGGGGAGCTCGATGGCGCAAGTCGTTAACGCGTTCGGCTGCGATAGTTGAAGTTCAGCAAGTTTCGTAGTGTTAGGTCATTGGATGGGTGACCGAAAATTTACTATCTCCAGCTCCTTCGTGCTTGGGAAGGCACGTTAACCCATTGGTTCCGGTAGCATCTGCAGTCGTTAACACCCACCGTACTGGGCCCGCGTTATGGCTCGATACCCTATAATACGTTTTGCATTCCCGCGGGTCGGACTAATTATGCAGGTAATCGCTACAATGTGCGGGCTATGAAATCATATAACTCTGAATATAGTCACATTGATATATTTAATCTTAATTCTTTGAAATTTAAAAAACTAATTTGTAACTCGTTTTAGACACAACATTTTTATTTCTTTTTGTTTTGTTTATGTTCATTATGATACCAAAAATTGTTTCTTTTTTCTCTCATGTTTATTAGACACTATGTGAGATAAATAATAGTGGAAATTATCTAGGCAATTGTTTAAACTAATGTTATATTTTTTATGTAAAAATTAATGCTGTTATTTCCCTAAAAATAAATAAATAAATTTATGGTATTGGTTCCATTAGGAATTTGTAGAAGAAAGCCTGGTGAGCGTGCTGCAGATCTTAGAGCGAAGTCTGGCGTTGGAACGGGCGCTCGTAGCCGCTGCCAACGAGGCGGGCCGCGGCGTACTCATCATTGGACTTTCAAAGCTCATACTGGGTAAGAGCGACACGTAATATTATTCAAAAATCATATTATTATACTGGTCATTTGTAGTAGTTTATTTTGTAAAAGAGTATAACAAAAATGATATTTGTCATTTAATTCAAGTGCCATATTTTTTTAACTATCATTGGGGAAGAAAACACAATGCTCATTACGGATGGCGCTTTGGCCGTTTGGCCTAAAACAACCTTTTACTCAGACGTTTAAGTTTTGACATAAAATGTATGAAATTTATATCATATTTGACATATGCTGCACCTGGAGCGTAGGTTTGGAACGCAGCTTAAGTCTATCTGAAAGTCACATACCCTGACAGCTGTGTTGATTTGTTCAGGGTCATCTCTGGTGGCGATAAATTGCCAGTTTTCTTCCCCATAAAATGGATGTGTTTTGAGCGAATATTTCTATTTTCTTGGCAGCGAATTCTAGCGAGACGGGCAGCGGAGCGACCGGCGGCAACTCGTCGTGGTGGGGCGACGACCGCGTAGTACGGTGGTGCCGGGTGGTCCGCCTCGGGGGAGAGATATCCGCGCGCGCCACTCAACTGCTGGCGCGCGCGCTGCAAGCGCCCCACGCCGCCACACACCTGGTGTGTGCGCTGGCGCACCGGCACGCGCTCGCCGCGGACATCAGGCGAGTGTAGTGTATAGTGACGCGGTGGTGCCGGGTGGTCCGCCTCGGGGGAGAGATATCCGCGCGCGCCACTCAACTGCTGGCGCGCGCGCTGCAAGCGCCCCACGCCGCCACACACCTGGTGTGTGCGCTGGCGCACCGGCACGCGCTCGCCGCGGACATCAGGCGAGTGTAGTGTATAGTGACGCGGTGGTGCCGGGTGGTCCGCCTCGGGGGAGAGATATCCGCGCGCGCCACTCAACTGCTGGCGCGCGCGCTGCAAGCGCCCCACGCCGCCACACACCTGGTGTGTGCGCTGGCGCACCGGCACGCGCTCGCCGCGGACATCAGGCGAGTGTAGTGTATAGTGACGCGGTGGTGCCGGGTGGTCCGCCTCGGGGGAGAGATATCCGCGCGCGCCACTCAACTGCTGGCGCGCGCGCTGCAAGCGCCCCACGCCGCCACACACCTGGTGTGTGCGCTGGCGCACCGGCACGCGCTCGCCGCGGACATCAGGCGAGTGTAGTGTATAGTGACGCGGTGGTGCCGGGTGGTCCGCCTCGGGGGAGAGATATCCGCGCGCGCCACTCAACTGCTGGCGCGCGCGCTGCAAGCGCCCCACGCCGCCACACACCTGGTGTGTGCGCTGGCGCACCGGCACGCGCTCGCCGCGGACATCAGGCGAGTGTAGTGTATAGTGACGCGGTGGTGCCGGGTGGTCCGCCTCGGGGGAGAGATATCCGCGCGCGCCACTCAACTGCTGGCGCGCGCGCTGCAAGCGCCCCACGCCGCCACACACCTGGTGTGTGCGCTGGCGCACCGGCACGCGCTCGCCGCGGACATCAGGCGAGTGTAGTGTATAGTGACGCGGTGGTGCCGGGTGGTCCGCCTCGGGGGAGAGATATCCGCGCGCGCCACTCAACTGCTGGCGCGCGCGCTGCAAGCGCCCCACGCCGCCACACACCTGGTGTGTGCGCTGGCGCACCGGCACGCGCTCGCCGCGGACATCAGGCGAGTGTAGTGTATAGTGACGCGGTGGTGCCGGGTGGTCCGCCTCGGGGGAGAGATATCCGCGCGCGCCACTCAACTGCTGGCGCGCGCGCTGCAAGCGCCCCACGCCGCCACACACCTGGTGTGTGCGCTGGCGCACCGGCACGCGCTCGCCGCGGACATCAGGCGAGTGTAGTGTATAGTGACGCGGTGGTGCCGGGTGGTCCGCCTCGGGGGAGAGATATCCGCGCGCGCCACTCAACTGCTGGAGCGACATTCAGTGTGACAAGGATATTTATGAATATGAGTGACAGTTCGGGGAGGACGCTGCTATCTACGTAAATGACAACCATAAATGACATACATAATCTAATTTTTTTGCAGTTACCTACATATTCTTGAACTAAAATATAAGATGCATTGCCAATTTTCGCAGATCAAGTTTTAAATGTCTCGGATATTTGTCGTGTTAAGTATGACCTTTCATGTGTTAATCCATAAAATAATAATTATTATTTAAAATCATTAATATTTTTTTTTACAAAATATATATCTATTCAAAATGTATATTCCCTCCCGGGTTCCAGTATCCTTAAAAGACGAAAAACGAATAATGATACATTTTGTCATCAGACATGGGTTCGTGGAATGCCTGGAGGCCGAGGAGTGGGGTCCTCAGGCCGATGTGGTCCGGCAGACCAAGGAGGGTATCCTGTTGCTGCTGCACCAAGCACTGCCCACAGCGTCGCCCAACCTCGCGCACTATCTGCTGGGCTACCAGCCCCTGGAGGATGTGAGTATACGGGCAGGATGTAGGCACGGCATATATAGAGGCAGACTAAGAACCCGCCCAATCCTCGCACTTCAGGCTGGGCTACCAGCCTAGTGTTAAAACTTTAAAAGTAGTTAAAAATGCGGCAGCTGGAGATAAATTTATTCAAAATCTTATCCAGCCACACCTGAATATGCTGGTCATGTTTTACACTTGCTCAGCTTATTGCGTTATCGCCAACAACTTTTGAATTCGCCATGTCCTTTGGTATCTGATATTCTTTCGCCTCAACTCAGCTCAGCGTGGAATCAGTTCGGAAAAGAACACCCCAATAAAACTTGTTAATTTTGTAAAACTAGTTTTTACGGGTTAATGCACGAAACTTTACTTTTTGTTAATTTTGGTTACTCTAATACCATTTTACATTATTGCGTCATACCTGTTTAACTGCTTGGGGTACGCATAAGCAGTATTCATGCGGGCTATTTAAACTTTACGGCTCTAGAGATAGGTCATTTCGCCAAGTTAATCTATGGTTAAACTTCTTAATACAAAAGTAGGCTCTAACTATCACAAAAAACGGCTTATAGTGCCGTGGGTAGCGCGCCCCGATCGGGGCCAGTGGTTATCCACTGGGCCGCGTGGTGGGTCATGGACTCATGGCCTCAGCAGTGCGGACGTTAATAGGCTGCTCATGATGATGTTCGTAATAAAAATAAGTTTAGTTATGATTTTATTTATTTTTTAAGCATTTAACTGCTAGATGTTTAAATCAGTAGAAAAAAATCCACGCGGACCAGGCAGCGGACGGGACTCGAACCCCCTTTTTTTTCTAGTAAACTTTTCTTTAGATTTAAACATCTATAGTCCATTCACTTTGGCGTGAGACAAAATGTAAACAAACCATAAAATGGATACTTTTTAAGGTCACGTTTGACAAAAGCAAAGATTAAATACTATTTACATAGGAAATGCAGCGAAAATTTAAGTAAATTATTTTAAAACCTGTTACATACATATGAATAATAAAATAAAATATTTTACATTACATTCAACGTACATTCACATCATAAATTCGTATATTTTTAATTTGCTGGTAAAAGTATTTTAACAACATAAGTTGACATGGAAAAAGACCTAAAAACACAATCATTCCCAAACCTAAGACGTATTATAATACGATAAAATTTAAGAGTAGACATGATACAAGTATTTTACGTTGCAGTGTTGTGTTTTGTAATCGGTTGGTTTATGTCAGCCATCTTTACTCTCCCGATCAACCTGTTGACGCGAGTGTGCTTAATCAATCTTATTTGTTAAATTCTTGTTATTTCCTTATTTTATTTGTTGAGTTTGTTGTTATTTTATTTACTGTTAAGTTTAAAGTTGTTTGTGATTGTTTTCTTGTTAAATTGACGTTTTCGCAGCTATAGTTATGAGTGGTGAACCGGGACCAAGCAGCTCTTGTACATTTTCTTCGCCGAAGAAAAAGCGTACAAAGAGTGGACCATTGCGCTCCAACGAAAAGGAGCTCGTGATAAATGTTTTTAAACATGTTGAAGAAACCTGGCCAAAAGATTCCTATCCATATAAAAGTGATATAATCAATAAATCCGCCGAAATACTGGAAATATCACGAGCTACTGTTTACCGGTTGGTGAAGGAAAAGAAAAGTACTGGCCGTATCTCATCACCTCCGCCTCCGCCATTTAAAGTATCTTTGTTGGATACATTGGACGATATGGATAAAGCTGCGATACGCCGCAAAGTCCACACATTTTTTTTAATAAGGAGATGCCCACCGTGGACAAAGTATTGCATGCTGAGAATACAGATGAAACTTTGCCCAACTTTAAGAGGACCTCTTTTTTCAAGTTGATGAAATCTTTACAATTTAAATATCCGAAAGAGTGGGCTTATTGAAAGAGATGACATTGTTTTATGGCGCGTCAAATATTTAAATAATATTCTAAATCTCAGGAGCGAAGGTAGCTATTTATTACACTGAAGAAACTTGGATAAATGAAGGTTAGTAAAATACAATATTAAACTACTTTATCCTGTGGGAAATTTACTTCTGAATGAAATTATATTTCATTTTGTATTCATAAACTGATAAACTAAATTCATATTTTTTATTGTTTATCATCACAGCACTAAAATATATTAATTTCTATGCACATAATTTTATTATAATCTTTTTATAAATATTGAATGATACTTATTATTTTCATACCATGTCTTTATCCTGTGAAAATGTTACTCAAATATGTTGTGTCATGTTACCAATTGTATTAAATTATTATTGTTTTTATTTTTCATAAGTTGTTAATGAACTTATATTTGTTACAGGACACACTATGAACAAAATTTGGCAAGATCATACAATTAAAACTGTGAAAGAAGCTCATCGAGAGGGATTGTCAATAGGATTGAAAAACCCAAGTGGAAAAGGGAAGCATCTGATTGTATTGTACATATGGGCACAAGTCAAGGGATATGTTGGTAAAAATAATAAAACATTTAAGATGACTGAAATTAAAAATTAGCCGATGCCTTACAATCAATCACAGCTGAATCGTGGAAACGTTGCATTGACCATGTCATTAAAGAAGAGCAGAAAATGCTGAAATTGAATGGTATTGTTGATGATGTTGTGGATAAATTTATTATTAAAGTTGGTGGCAGTGCATCCAGTGAGTTGTCAGACAGTGAATAAATATTATTTGCAAAGTATTATGCTGGTTTCATTTGAAATACACATTCTTTTATTATATTTATCATCAAGACAGAATTCATTATAATTTTAATATAGGTTACATAAATTATACCTAATCATCGACTAGTAGGTACTTTCTGACATTATAAAAGTTTTAGAACCTCAGATTCTTTGTTTACATTTTGTCTCAAGCCAAAGTGAATAGACTATAGCAGTTAAATGCTTAAAAAATAAATAAAATCATAACTATAATTGCTTTTTCTTCTTTCAAATGTTTAATACTTGAAAAAGTATTCATTTGACATTGTGGGTTACCTACAATGCGAAGAGATGGGCTGCCTTGCAGCTTAAGGCTAGGAAAATTTCGACGCGGCTAATAAGGCCGTGGTAGCATAATGGTCAGTGCATTCGCCCGGATAGCGAAGGATGCGGGTTCGAGTCCCGTCCGCTGCCTGGTCCGCGTGGATTTTTTTCTAGTAAACTTTTTATAGTTTTCAATGTTGCTAATAAAATCCACAGGTAAGCAAGAGCGCGTTGAACGAGCCCGGCGCGGGCGGGTCCCCTCGCACGTGTCTCCACTCCATACTTGACATTCTGGACCAACACATCGCCGGACAGAGCGCTTCTGATAGGTGAGCGAAATGAAAGATTCATAATCTACAGATTGTAGATTTTATCATTTTCTCAATAGGGATGAAGACTATTTTTTTCTCTTCGTTTATTATCAAAAAGTATTGGACACGTATTTTTTCTTTTTTCACATAATATAAACATTGCAGAGATATATTGATTTGAAAAAAGTCGCATGACTTATAAGTGAAAATTCACTCAAAAGTGACGTCACGAGCCCCTACTCCCAAACTTTGACGCGCTATAACTTTGTCATTTTTTGGTTGATTGCCCAAAGAAAAAATACGTGTCCATTATTTTTTGATCATCTAACTGACGTACTAAATAGAATTTCGTTAACTGTACCCCGTCAGCACCCCTATCATGCTTGGTTTGACCACTATTTTGACAACGTTCTTTGAGATAAATCGAAATTGCTGGACTGGCCAAAAAAAAGTATGTTATATGAAAATCCATATCTGTCGTTAAACGGGTAAATTAATTACATAGGAAACTCATATCTGTCGTGTAATTTAAAAATGGAACGAACTTTACTCCTAAACATGGCGGCAATATATTCCTCACTTATGTCGTGCATGGTAAACATTTCGACAAAACCCTTGTTTGTGGCTGGTTGATTTTTCAATTATACACAGAATATGTTTTATTTATATAATGACTAATATGTCCGATTTGCACGATACAGGGAAGCGACAAACCTTGTGGAAAGTTGCTACAGATTGGTTTACTGGCTGTGCGCGCGGCCTAACACTTCGGCGCCGGTGCTGCGGTATTTACGCACCAGGGATTACTTCCTCTCACGCCATATAAAGGCTACCATCAATCTAGAGGTAATCTATAATAATCCTTATATACATATGTAACGATAAAATTGGTTTATGGATTTATATAAGGCTCGAAGGACCATCAATGTATGAGCTTTTATTTTATAAAAAACTAAAGTAATAGTATCATATTTGTTGAGTAAAATGTAAGCTTATTTGGAGCAATATCTAACTAATAATTATTTTATAAGACTCGAAACATCACCCGTAAAATGCAATATATACTAGTGCAAATCTACCTACGCGCCGATCAGTACGGCAGCGGCGCAATTTTGTAAAAGTACTCTTAATTAAAATACAACGTAATCTGAGAGTATTTACTTCCATAGCGTCTTGACGCCCTTTGTGGCCGAGTGGTTTGTACACTGGGTTTCAAGGTGTCGTCTACTCGAGGGGTCCTGGGTTCGAATCCCGGTGAGGGCAGATGATTGTGTGATGAATACGAGCATTTGTACTCCAGTCTTGAATGTTTAATATGTATTTCTATATAAATTTACTTGTATATGTATCAGCATATCGTCCCTTTATTGGTAAAACCAATTTTCTACCAAAAATGAAACTTGTGCCAATGATGATTTTAAAAGTTTGACAGAAAAATTATGTAACTAAATTTCATATATATTACCTGCAATCATGTAATTACATACATAATATATATTATGTATTCTATTAGTTACCCTAGTATCTATCTATCTATCATAAAGTAAGCAGTGTGTGTCTACACACTGCTGACTTTGGGGCTAGACTAATTGGTGTGAGTTTAACAAATATTAATATATCTAATTAAATTTAATGTAGACGGCGGGTGCGGTGACGCTGTCCGCTCGCTCCTGGCTCCTCCGGGCCTGCGCTTGTGAGGCCGGCGCTGCTGCCGCCGCCCGCCACCACGCCGCCCTCGCCACGCTGCTGGCCGCCCTCACCCGCCCGCCCCACCCGCACCAACACGCGCAAGTATGATGTATACACACACACACACACACACACACACACACACGCTCGCTCCTGGCTCCTCCGGGCCTGCGCTTGTGAGGCCGGCGCTGCTGCCGCCGCCCGCCACCACGCCGCCCTCGCCACGCTGCTGGCCGCCCTCACCCGCCCGCCCCACCCGCACCAACACGCGCAAGTATGATGTATACACACACACACACACACACACACGCTCGCTCCTGGCTCCTCCGGGCCTGCGCTTGTGAGGCCGGCGCTGCTGCCGCCGCCCGCCACCACGCCGCCCTCGCCACGCTGCTGGCCGCCCTCACCCGCCCGCCCCACCCGCACCAACACGCGCAAGTATGATGTATACACACACACACACACACACACACACACACACACGCTCGCTCCTGGCTCCTCCGGGCCTGCGCTTGTGAGGCCGGCGCTGCTGCCGCCGCCCGCCACCACGCCGCCCTCGCCACGCTGCTGGCCGCCCTCACCCGCCCGCCCCACCCGCACCAACACGCGCAAGTATGATGTATACACACACACACACACACACACACACACACACGCTCGCTCCTGGCTCCTCCGGGCCTGCGCTTGTGAGGCCGGCGCTGCTGCCGCCGCCCGCCACCACGCCGCCCTCGCCACGCTGCTGGCCGCCCTCACCCGCCCGCCCCACCCGCACCAACACGCGCAAGTATGATGTATACACACACACACACACACACACACGCTCGCTCCTGGCTCCTCCGGGCCTGCGCTTGTGAGGCCGGCGCTGCTGCCGCCGCCCGCCACCACGCCGCCCTCGCCACGCTGCTGGCCGCCCTCACCCGCCCGCCCCACCCGCACCAACACGCGCAAGTATGATGTATACACACACACACACACACACACACACACACACACGCTCGCTCCTGGCTCCTCCGGGCCTGCGCTTGTGAGGCCGGCGCTGCTGCCGCCGCCCGCCACCACGCCGCCCTCGCCACGCTGCTGGCCGCCCTCA